TATATACCTTGTCTGTGATGTAGATCGGCCCATGCCGTTTACATATTAGACAAATCTCGGGCAAAACATTTGATGATCGAGCAGGAAAAGATTGTCGAGTAGTTCGGGTCACTTTTTCTGGTCTTGGACAGTTGGTCTGAGTATTGTCGTCGGCCACTCGCTTGCGATCGGCAGCATTAGTCAACGTAGTTTTGGCTCTATCAAGTTTACTTTTGTCTGTAAAACTTCGATAACAGGCAGGATGAAAGCAATATGTTTTCGCAATATTTTCCGGGTTTAAATCGTCAGTTTCATGAATAAACTCGAACGACTTTTTGGCGACTTCAGTAAAGGCTTTATACGAGGATGGCAGACTTAACCACTCCTTTCTTCTTTCCAAAATTCTATTCACGGTTTCACTTGTTAATTCTCTAAGCTCTCCGTCTTTACCCTCGAAATAAATGACACATACTCGATGAGAATCATCACTACCAGCACTGGAAGTACTTTCCATTTTGGATTTTTTTTCGAATTTATTAACCTCCGTAAAAATACCTTGCCATCGTTCTAAATGACAACGCGGCCGCAAATTGAATAGACTGGAACGGAGTAAACACACATTTGAGCGATGCAATTTAATTCGAAGCATCGAGGAATAATAAACAAAATGGCGGGCGATTGTTGGAATTTCGTCAAAGGAGTGCAAATAAACATGAATTTTACAAAAATACTGCGGGTCTACGGAGCGGGAACTCTTCGGATTCAGATTCACCATGTTTAAAAGTGGTGAGTTATGTAAAAGTATTTGAGTTACGAGGCACGGTAAATGAAAGTGAAAGATATTGGGCCACGACAAACGGCCTATAACAATTATTTCGAATTGGTTAATTATTTCGAAGGATGACAGTTATCATAATTATATTTATTTTTTATCAGTGAAAATGAAGCAATGTGATTGGCTGAGAGCCTTTCAGAGCGGGCCGGTTTTTTGCATCCGGCCCGCTCTGAAACGCAACTGCCCGCTGTGAAATGCAACTGCCCGCTCTGGATTTCGCGCCAAAAACCGAGGAGTGAAACAATTTTTAAACGAAAAAATCTGCCAAAAACGTTTGAAAAACATAGCCTAACGATAGTCAGAATACAAAAATGAATTGCATCAAGCCATAAAGACTTCATACTAAGCACGATGTTCACCAGAATTGACAATATTTTGATAGAAATGTGACTGAAAGACGGAAAGTTTATATTTGACATGAATAAAACTTACGTCGAGAAAACTACATATTTTTTAAATGCTCATGTATTCGGCCACTTAAAAGCGAAAAAATTACAGCTTAAACAGAAATTGTAAAATAAATGTTTTCCCATTTAAAAGAAGGTTTAACTGCAGCAGTAAAAACAAGTTACGAATATATTCTCTACCCATTTGTGTCATGCATTTTTCACTGATATAAATATTGTAAACAAAGTAAATGTTTGTGTTTAAAAACACTTTTTCAAGCATATTATCCTGAGACGAGAAGAAAAAATACAAAAATATAAAAACAACATACCTTTTACATTGTCCTTTTAGTAGAAAAACGATGTTAAATCAAAACAGATTCATTTTTATATGTTTTTGATCGGAACTGAACATGAACCTGTCGTTGTCAGGACTCAGGAGCAACTGATTTTGTCAAAGCCCAAAGCCAAAACGCCAGGCATAAAAGTTTTTATTCCAAAGCTTCTCTGCTATCATATTTATGAAAAAAGCATGTACATCTTTACTGAAACTATACGTCTTTTTGTGTGTTTCTTGCCAGTTTTCTCAAGTTTTCGTATTCGTGTTTTATATCTTTCAACTTTTCAATTTTTGTCAGCCTCGCTTTGAAAATACACAACTGCACTGATCTCAAATTAGTTCGCAAGCAACACTGGAATTTTAATGAATTTAATTTTTACATCTGATAAAAAATAAACACGTTATTTACCGGCAGCGTCGGTCCGGATGAGAAAAACTGTGCCCTCTGTCTTGAAAACGTCCCTCGCCCTTCGGGCTCGGGCCGTTTTCAAGACCTCGGGCACAGTTTTTCTCATCCGGACCTCGCAGCCGGTAAATAACATATATGTATTGTTAACTGTTTACAAACACGGAGATATTTTTAGCGGAATCACTTACAAATATTTTAATAATTTCATTATCTGTTCGGGACGGGGGAAGAAATGGGGGCTGAAAACATGAGACACGCGTAATCCTAAAGGCCGACACATATTAAAATCTCACTTTCGTCTCGCGCTTTTATTCTAACTTCTTGAAACTTATATATTTTATTATTTCCTGCCTAGGCATTAATCTAAACTAATTAAATATTATCCTGATCACTTGAAGGAAACAAAATATTGTGATTTTTTAAAAACGTCTTGCAGACAGCGGATTAAATATTCGTGTTAGTATGCCGGCGGTAAATTTTTTTCTCAAAAGTGCAAGGGTATCAAGTATCCAATCTATTGCAGCTGCTGAGTATTATGACTCATCTACTAGAATAAAAAATAAAATCTTTGAGCAGTGTGTTTCTCGCCTGACAAGCGCGTCATGAATATAGTCAACTTTCGCTAATTCGACTAATTATAAACTATAATTTGTTAATGTATTTACTGAATTTTTCCCGTTAAAAAAATACAAAATTGTTTACTATGTTTCAAATATGGCTGTTTTTTGGATAGAGAGTAAGTTATAACTATTCCAGCGAGGGTACTAATTCCGCACGGCTATTTGCCCCCGGGGAAAGGAAAGCATTAACGAAGTCTAAAGTTCAGCAATGATCGCGGGCGTGGGTCACCGTTCATGGGTGGTCATCCTCACTGATCGCAAAATATAGCGGACTGTCATGAATAGCCAACACTGATTGGTCCAATTTAAAATTTGCATTATAACGACTGCATGACGACACCGCAATGGCAAACATTTCCTGATTTGATGATTTCTAAATTTCTTGCAAATAATATATTTCATTTTTGCTCGCATTTTGCAAGATTTTGTAAATTTCAAAAGCATTCTGAATAAGGAAGGGCGAAAGAATCGGCTAATAGCGGGGAGCAAAGGTGCCGACGTTAACGAAGATAAGTTTGTTTTAAATATTGACTTTATAATTGCTTTAAAACTCGACGGCCTTTGCGTATATTAAATAACTAAACAAGACAGCATATAATTTCTAAATCAGTGTATCTTTATTGATTATCATTTTTTATTATATTGAGTTTTTAAATAAAAAAGAAAGCAAAGTTATTTGCATGCGAAAATTTGAAATCATTTTGTTGCAAACTCAAAGTTTATCGATAAAGCCATCTAAAATTAAAGCCAGTTTAGTTTTATAAAGAACACTTTAAAACGTTTTGCGAAGCGTTTGTGGTTGAATTTTACCTTAAATCGAAGCTTATATTACGTATAATAACATACCTAACACATCTATGTTTGGGAAATTGATAATTTTGTAATTAAAAGAATAAAAGTGACATTTTTAGGCTATTTTTCATTTGTAAAAATATTCTTAAAAATTATCGTGTTACTATGACAACTACTTCAGATACGTCATGTTCGGAAAATAACATCTATATAACGCGTGCTCTGATTGGTCGAAACCCGTGTTTGGATCCCAAGCATCATATTCACCTGAGTACATTGCACCAACACAGAAAAAAATATCATGATTATTATAGATTACATTGATATCGAAGGAACTAGACTCAGTTCCGAAATATCAAATACTCGAACCGCGGACCTTACCGCGTAGCTCAGTCGGCAGCGAATTGGGCTAGTATTCCAAAGGTCGTAGGTTCGATTCCCACCGTGGCCAGGCATATTTTTCAAGCTTGCTCGGTGTGGATATACACCCAGAGTAACATCACAAGCATCATTTTATACATGTTTAATATTTTCATGTTTTTTAGGAACTGCAATTACATGCTGATCTCGGTCAAGGTCCTTTCACACGTACTATTGCGTATGAGAGAAACGTATGAGTAGCGTAAACCATGCATGCATACGTCCGCATACTCGAAAAATTTTTAAGCATGCTTACCTCGCCGTATACATGCGTATGCCTCCCTTGCCGACTGTGCTTGATGCGCATGAAGCTATGTCAGCGTATATGATTGAAATTGGTGTGACAGGGCCATTACGGAAAATTTTGCACAAATACAGTGTGTATAAAACAACTGAACCTTTTAAATTCAAATTAGCTATAACGTATTGTATTAATTTGACAGCTCTAATTGCTTTAAATTAATGGTTGGATAAGAACTCTAGGTCTTGTACTCATGGGACAAAACTCAAAGAAATAAAATTTAAAAATTCAGAAGAAATATGTTAAAATTAAAAGATATGTAAAATTCATACCTGCAGAAATGACAAAATGGGTCAGTTCACTGCAGAGCAGCGAACTTTTATGGTGTTACATTACAACCGTACCCAAAGTTTAGTAGCAGTACAGAATGCATTTCGACAAAGATTTCCTAGTCGGAAACCTCCGAGTAAAAACACTATCCTACAAAACGTTAGGAAGTATTTTGAGCACGGAACAAGCCTGAACCGTAACAAAAATAATTCTGGCCGACCAAGAACCGCGCGTTCCCAACAAAATATTGCAGCTGTAAGGCGTCTACTCGAACTACAAAATCCATGGGATGTGAGTGCTCGTCGCAATCCAGTACAAGTTTCTTCTACAACTTTTAACCGCATTACAAGGCTTGACTTGGGATGGCATCTATACCGAATGCACGTGAGACATGAGTTGCTGCCAAACGACTATCTGCGGCGACTTCGACTTTCTCAGTGGTTCAACTAGAAATGCGAAGAAGACCCTCATTTTTTGGATCATGTGGTAATTGGAGACGAGGCATCTTTCGTAATGGATGGAGAAGTAAGCTCGCACAATGTTCGACGGTACGCACCTAAAGGACATCCTCCAGTGTTCAATTTCAACAGAAGTTATTCTCGAGCGAAGCTTACTGTGCCAATGGCTCTTTTATATAAACTCTGAACATACGCAACTGATATTTTTAGTCTTCCTTAGCCTGTAAATGGCCTATATAGGATTTATATCGCCTATTAATCAAACTTCCATGCAAGACACTCCTTTGACTTCTTTTCAATAACAGTAGCCAGGATTAAATGCAATAATATATAAAAACTACTGAATAAATTATAATTCGTTTGGTGTAAGAAGAATGGGCTTGAATTACAAGCATTCCAAGTTTCCAAGTTCAAGAAAAACAATGTTAATACGAACGTAAAACGTAAAACAGCTTTGTCCACACCACCTTCCTAAAACGTCCCATTCTATGAATGTAATCACATAGTGTGCGAGGGGGACAGAATACGCGAGGGGGGGGGGACAAACGTTTGGGAGGAGGGGGTGTGGGTAGTATCTGTGATACCTGCATTCATATCGTGTACATGCATGTTAGATGGCCTTTGGCGTTGTTATTATACTTGCCACCCTTAATTTAATTAAAATTTTACTCCTACACCTATCAATTGAGGTAATCCATATATGTATAGGCCGTTACCAAATTTGGAAAAAAAATAATGTTTGATTGGTTAATCAGTTGATATTTGTCTTATTTGCCCTCATATCTATACAATAATACAGCAAATAATATACTTCAAGCATGCATATCTGCCTTTTGTGACTCCCTGCCATGTTACGTTGTGTTAATTAAGGGGCTGAAGCAATGGTAGTCAGTCCTCCGAGCAGTATTAATTGGTTCATGATACGCATGTCATGAAGTATTTTTTTTAAAATATACAATATACATGCATTTTACGAAGTGTGTAAAAGTGTGACTTGTCAGATTGTGGAGTAGTCTTGAGAATTTAAATGCAAATAAAAAATCCTCATTTGCATAAAATTTAGAAATGCAAAGACATCTTAATTTGTAGTGACAGCCTTGATCGTCTTGGACACTAAAACAATTGCGTGGGCAATTGAGCAGTGAGACAAAGATTAGAAGCAAACGGGAAGCTGAAGGGTCTAGCAAAGAGCAGTTAAAAAAATTAAACACTATTGTTTCTCAATCTTACTAAACAAGACTTTCCAAGTAAATTTATCCACTGTTACTGATTGGAATTCCCACACAATTTGGCTCAGAGTAAAGATTGCTTATTATATATTCAAACAAACGTCAGTACTATATTATACTCTTGAGGAAGTTATATATCAGCAGGAGTTCGTTGACTCTGAATGCTCGTCGCAACGACTACAAACATAAATATGAAGGGCATAAGTCTCGTCGTCATTGGTGTCTTATTGACAGCTGCTTCTTCGGTGAGTGAATAATCATTACAAGTGTTTCGTTTCTACTGATGTATGTTTTTATATTGGCGGTTATATTTCAGTGTTCGCTTCGGTTTCTAGTCCAATATATGTGCTCGATACAATTGTAAATGCTAATAGGAGCAGAAAGTCATTCCGCGATGTCCTTAGACCAGCATTTGAAATGTAGGTTTATCCTCTACTGCTCTTTTCAAGCGGCAGCTTTACCCGGCTGCTTGTGTGCTGAATTGACAATATTTGACTATGTGACAATGTCTAATAGTACATACCACTATAGCTATAGGTCAGTACTAGGTGTAATTCCATCATGTTGTATGCTCAGAATCAGAGAAATTTGGTCAAATTCTGATGAATTGAAGAAGTTTATGAGGGACTAGTCATTATAGCAACAAAACGTGTATCTTTCTTGTTTTTCCGTGTTCAAGTAAATCCTTGTGGAACGCTTTCCTTTGCCTGATAAAACTGAAACAAACAAATCCATCCATAGTAATTTAGTATTCATACAGATTACAATTGAAAATATGCAGCTAAAAACGTATCGAGCACTACGGGTTACGTTAAATTGCTACATTGTAATCATTCATATTTTAATATTTTACTTTTTAAGTTACCAACAAGTAGCTGGCCTTCCATCGTGTCAACCACAAATTTACAATACAATTGAGATTTTTACAACTCGCTATAATTCAGTCAATTTCTGAGGTTGACATATGCACGAGCATGCAGAAGTGTTCAGCAAAATGTACAGTATGGTCAGTACATCAGACAAATTTATAAAACTGCTATTGATTAATATTAGGTTAACCAATAGATAATTCCGGGATCCATTATAGACTAATTTTAAAACTAGGCAAGGAGATGAAAATAAACCACCCCAGCTAGAAAGAGCGTATTAAAATGAGTAAAATTTCAAAGTTCGGTTACGACATTTTCCTCATTTTACACCATTTCGCAACCAAACCATCCTCGTTCCCAGGGCTTCTCGGCTGCCTGCGGCAACGCAGGCAGCCGAGAAGCCCTGGGAACGAGGATGCAACCAAACTTTGTAATTTTACTAATTTTAGTATATTTATATGCTCTTTCTAGCTGTGGTCATTTATTAGCATTTCCTTGCTTAGTTTTAAAATTAATCTATAATGGAAATTGTCTATTGTTATGCCTTATGGTCACTGAATTACAGGCCATGTCAGTTGGATTATTTCTATGTATAGGCCTACCATACCATGCCTGCACTGATGCTAGTATTTTAGGTAATCAAAATCATATGGTGAGCATTGGTCGGTCTCATTGTTACGTATACATCAAAATAGTTCACTGAAATTCACAAGAATATTAATAGGTGTAATTTGATGATGCACATGAATTTATCACCGGGTCGGATTTGACCATACTGCGATATTACAAATTTAGGATTGGTGACAAGACTTGTGATTTTGTGTTGTGTAATTTTCGTGTATCTCATTTGAATAAATGGTTTTCTTAAATTTAGGATTGGTGACAAGACTTGTGATTTTGTGTTGTATAATTTTCCTGTATCTCATTTGAATAAATGGTTTTCTTGAATTTATCTTATCAGGGTCCGGAAAGTATACCATGCATTGAGAAATTGTAAACTTAATGCTTGCTTTATACTGTGTACTGTTTCCGTAATCTGTCCATCACATGTAGTTAAGTCTGTGTGAGGATTGTAGGTTTATTCCTTAGTATTTAAGTATATACATGCAGTTAGATTATGTGCATACTTACAGGGTCTTGAAGGCAAACCATGCCGTGAAATATGTACTAAAGCCTATGGTTTGTGTGATGTATCTAACTATTGATAGGTAGAATAGGTAGATGTTGTACAATCTACCAAAATTGCGGCTTATAGAATCGGGAAGAACATTTAGTTATGCCAAAAGGGTAATCCTAATTAGATGCCCTAGACTAATAATCCCATATGTTTTACAAAACACAAAAAACGTGGTGCCCAGGGTCTGGCAAAAAATTTTTTGACTGCACGGTATGGCAGTCATTACGTAGTATATACTATATGGATTAATACTTTTAAATAATATATATATAATAAGGATTGATTGTCCAAAGCAGTTCGAAGCAGTCCGAGCCAGTTTCGCGTTTCAACGTCATGGTATGATATTGGATCAATATCATTAGAAATGACTGTAAAGAAAGGCGAACATGGGTCGAACGGCAAGTAAAATGGCTTTGGACAAACCATCCCATTGGTTCAACAAAAAATAAAATATATCATCAGGGAGACAGGTGGATGGTATTGGAGAGATGCAGTGATTTTTAATGAAACATTGAATAATGACGTGACTGTGTATTGGGGCTATAGCAAACCTCACAGAGTCTTGGGTTGACCGTGCCTGTGAAGTATGTTAGCGGATAGTATATTTTATATCATATGGAAGATACAGTATAATTATATAGTTGTGTTAATTGTGCTATTTCATTTGTTTGGCCCTCGATCGTCCACTGATGGGACAATCAATAAACTCGCCGGAGACAATGTACACGTTGGATAATGCAAACCTTACAAATATGTGGGCTAATAAAATCATAATTTTGATGAATTGCACATTTAACTGTTTAATATTTCACTGGAAAAACAAGGTGTTACGTTCCGAAGGATTGAAAGTTCTGAAAAGCCTGAAAATATGTCGACGGATTGAGTCCTATAGCTGCACTAATAACCCTTCTTCATAAAAAACAACTTAATAGTCGAACGAAATCTATCTCTTTATGGATTTTAGTTTGTCCTTACACTAGTTTGTCCTGTTTTCTCGTGGATTATCTAACAACATCTTGCATAGTTGCATGGTCACAGTAAATGTGAATACAAGGAACTATACATTTATACTGTTCTATATATATTAATACGCATATCATCATCACTATAAGAAACACAGTGGCTGCATGTAACTAGGGAAGATAGGGCACTGTCAAAGTGTTATGTTTGTAATTTTATCCATTCCTGAAGATGACCAAAATATATAGTCGAATAAGACGTAGAAAAATAAAAATAATTTCATTTTCTTAATTGTTTCATTACATATACAGGATGTATATAAAATTGTCATGTTCTTGCGTGTTATAAGTATTGTTTATGTAGATTTAATTTTCCCATCCCAATAAGGATTAGGCATTTAGCTATCGAATGAGATATTTTTTCTATTAGTATTGCGTTAAAAACTGAACTAACCCGGCCGATTTAAAAAGTGGCGATTTTTCTGCTATTCCATGAAAATTGCAAACGCGTGTGTCTGTGATTTGAAATTATTCTCTGAAGGAATTGTTAAAATTAAAAAAAAAAAAACAAGGAATACTTGTCAAACGAATATCCAAATAATCAAAATAAGAACAATCTATAGTTTTGGCAATTAATTTAAAGATGATTTAACTCGCGATTGGACAATGAAATTTTGTGGATAAAACATTGTACGCAACCTGAAGTTTGTCGAGAACTTTCACGCCTATATAAGGTCCTGTGATTCCGGTGCAACGCTCTAACCAACTGAGCTACAGAGTCCACCTGGATAGTTCATCATAAATGTATAAAATTTAACCTGGAAATTTGCATCTACAAAATCCTTCAACATTATTCTTCAATCAACTAAGATGCCCAAAAATAACAATAATAATATGACAGACATCCCCCCTCACACCCCTGCCTCACACTTTTCTTCAGGATCAATTTTGCAATTCTTTCAACACTTCGGAGAAACTGGGGCGGGGGGAGTGACCTCTTAATGTTTTCATCTATGATATAAAATATACCAAATCTGTCGCTTTCAGATTATTATAAAACGTGTCAAAAATGCATGAATTAGCGTTTCGGAGACCATAAAAATTGATAAATTTTCCTGTAGACCATGTTTCCCTTCTTTCCCACACGTTTGGGGCTGGCCACGCCCCTGTCCCCCACAATCACAGAATGTCCACGACAATTACAGAAGTAAAATTGAATGTACAATTAGCCCATTGTATAATTTATGCATGATATACGTTAAGTGCTCTCTAGTTTTCTTATGATGTCAGGGCAAAATGTGTTTGTTGGGAAAATGCTGCTCTTGCGCGCTGCTCTCCGTTGCTTAGTGCCAGGAGTTTTATACACACTTTGGTAGCTATAGGTAGTGATTGTAATTTATCTTGGGCATGCAACGATCTTGACTGGCAACTCTCATCAATTTTCATTCTCCTTTGACCGGCGCTTAAGTGTGTCATTGTGATCAATTAAAAACAGGTGTGACCAGCTTGTGGGTCTGCAACGCAATAATATATTTCTCAACCGTTGCATTACAATTGCGTTAATTATTCAGAAGAAGTCGCTCGAGGATGGAACGTACTTCTTTTATCAACGTGATATTTATATTTGCTGTGAACGTATTGTTCTTTTTCTCAGGAATATGTTTAAATTCCTTGGTCATAATATTATTCAGTTTCTGGAGGTTTGTACAACTTCGAAAGAAATTATGTTATTTCATGATTATGGTTTTGTCCTGTTGCGATTTGCTTACGCTTTTAACTAATAATTTATTGATGGCCCTTATCTCGATGTTGTCGTTGACGGGAAAGTTGGATGAAAATGCAAAATGGGCTCATATGTCCTTAAGATCGACAAATATTTTCCTTGTTTTTTCATTATGCGCTCTTTTGGTGATGAATTTCGATCGATATTTTGCGACATCTTATCCTATCTTTCATCGAACATCGGTAACAAAGGGAAGACTTTTAACTCTTCTTGCATTGCTGATCATCGTCGAAATAACATTGGCTGTGATGTCTGTAAACGACTTTGTTATTTCCAACCAAGTGCATATTATAATTGCTTGTATTCTTCTCATTCCTCCAATGTTATTTATCAACTACAAACTGTTTCTAGTCATCAGGAAAAGTCGTAAAAACAAAAGAAAATCACCCGAAATAGAAAAGACGTTTTCGTTGACAAACATATCGAGTTGTTTGCTAGTAGTCGCTTGTAATGTGGTGATATCCATTCCAATGCTCGTGTCCATTGGACTAACAACACACTCGACGCAGACAAATGCAGTCCTTGCAGCGATGTGGGCTAGAACCATAGTTTTGATGAATTGTACATTTAACTGTTTAATTTTTTATTGGAAAAACAAGGCGTTACGTAACGAAGGATTGAAAGTTCTGCAAAGCCTGAAAATATGTCGACGGGTTCAATCCTAGCTGCACTAATAACAATTCTTAGGAAAAAAACTCGTCGCTGGAAGGAAATTCTATATTATCTATTTACACTGTTTTCTCGCGCCTTAATCAAACAATATCTTGGTCATAGTAAATGTGAACACAACGAACTATACACTTATATTGTTCTATATATTAATACGCATATCATCATGACTATGCGAAAGACAGTAGCTGTAACTAGGGGATATAAGGCCCTGTCGTGCTCGTAACTTTATCTATTCCCGACGATAAGTAAAATATAGTCAAATAAAACGTGGAAAAATAAAAATGCTTTCATTATTTCAATTATTTCATTATATACTAGGGTGTTTAAAACATTTGCCATGTTATTGTGCATTAAGTATTGGGTATGTATAACTTTAATTTTCCCATCCTAATAAAGATTAGTCTTTTAGCGATCGAATGCGTTTTTTTGTTTGTATTATTACTTTAAAAACTGCACTAACACAACCAATTTATAATGGACGATGTATGTCCGAGTGTTCAAATTATTCTGTCAAAGAATATTGAAAATTCAAAAGAATTACAAGGAATAGCAGTCAGAAGAACACTCAAATGTTCAAAATAAGAATAATCTAGTCTTGGCAATTAATAGTCTAGTCTTGGCAATTAGGCCTTTAACTATCGAATGAGATATTTTTTCTATCATTGCGTTAAAAACTAAATGCAGTCCTTGCAGCGATGTGGGCTAGAACCATAGTTTTGATGAATTGTACATTTAACTGTTTAATCTTTTATTGGAAAAACAAGGCGTTACGTAGCGAAGGATTGAAAGTTCTGCAAAGCCTGAAAATATGTCGACGCGTACGGGTTGATACCTAGCTGCACTAATAACAATTCCTAGAAAAAAAACTTGATGCTCGAAGGAAATTCTATATTATGTATTTTAGGATTTTAATTGGTCTTTACACTGTTTTCTCGCCCCTTAATCAAACAATATCTTGGTCATAGTAAATGTGAACACAACGAACTATACACTTATATTGTTCTATATATTAATACGCATATCATCATCACTATGCGAAAGACAGTAGCTGTAACTAGGGGATATAAGGCACTTTCGTGCTCGTAACTTTATCCACTCTGGCAAGCAGACTGATGTGATTTATCTAGATATGTCGAAAGCCTTTGATAAAGTGCAACACTCTCTTATCCTTGATAAACTACGCCAGTACAACATCTCTGGTAACCTGTTGAACTGGTTTACATCCTACCTTCGTGGGCGAAGACAACGTGTTACGGTACTTGGTGCGACATCAAAAGAACGCAAAGTAACAACTGGTGTTCCTCAAGGTTCCATCCTTGGACCAATGCTCTTTCTTTTATATGTGAACGATCTGCCCAAGACTGTGAATAGATCAAAAGTTGCTTGTTTCGCTGATAATACGAAGATTCTGAAGCAAGTGGACAACCTGCAAGACACTGCTGGTCTTCAAAACGACATTATCAGTCTTAACGGTTGGGCCACAGATAACGGTTTGACATTCAACGAAACGAAGTGTAAGTGCCAGCGCATCACACGGAAGAAAACACCAGTTGAGTATCCCTACGCCCTGAATGGATCAGTACTTGCCGCTGCTAATCAAGAGAAAGATCTCGGTGTATGGGTGTCGAATGAGTTGTGCTGGAAGAAACAAGTTGTCGAACAGACTTCAAAAGCGAACAAACTTCTGGGATTTGTCAGGAGATCTTCCCGGGAGATACGAAGCCAAAGAACAAGAAGATGTCTGTTCCTCTCTGTTGTACGACCACACCTTGGCTACGCCACCCAGATTTGGGCCCCTCAGACCATCGAGCTTATCAAGCGCGTCGAAAGAGTGCAGCGTCGTGCAACAAAATTCATACTAAACCTTCCATGCCACTGCGAACTAACTTACGAGGATCGACTACAAGCTACCGATTTACTACCGATTATAGTTTCTGGCATGAATATTTAGACTTGACGTTTTTCTTCAAGATGTTTAACGGGTTGGTGTGCGTCAGTGAGGAGATAATCCCTGAACGGAAGCATGGAAATATAAGAACAACGCGAGCTACGAGCAATTCTGACATCATTACGTTCAGGATTAGAAAATGCAGAACAGTAACATTCCAAGGTTCGGTCATGAATAGAACAGCAAGAGTTTGGAACGTTCTTCCTCCAGAACTGAGACATCAGTCTCTCACTTTACCAAGATTTAAATCTCTGCTGTTAGACTACTTCAAAACTGCCTTATACCTAAATTATCAACCTCAAAATCCTCGGACATGGAAGTCTATCTGCTTAAAGTGTAACACTGCTCGTAGTCTTGCTGCTTCACTCTCTTGCGGCTATTAGTGTCTCATTGTTATTGAAATATAAACATGATTAGGAAGGTTGTAAGTCTTAATTTTATGTTCTGTCTAAATTTGCATGAAAGCAAAGCCTGAAAATATGTCGACGGGTTGATAATAACTCTCAATGTTTTCTCGCGCCTTAATCAAACAATATCTTGGTATTAGTAAATGTGAACACAACGAACTATACACTTATATTGTTCTATGTATTAATACGCATATCATCATCTCTATGCGAAAGACAGAAGCTGTAACTAGGGGATATAAGGCACTGTCGTGCTTGTAACTTTATCCATTCCCGAAGATAACTAAAATATAGTCGAATAAAACGTGGAAAAATAAAAATGCTTTCATTATTTCAATTATTTCATTATATACTAGGGTGTTTAAAACATTTGCCATGTTATTGTGCATTAAGTATTGGGTATGTATAACTTTAGTTTTTCCATCCTAATAAAGATTAGGCTTTTAGCGATCGAATGCGTTTTTTTGTTTGTATTATTACTTTAAAAACTGAACTAACACAACCAATTTATAATGGACGATGTATGTCCGAGTGTTCAAATTATTCTGTGAAAGAATATTGCAAATTCAAAAGAATAACAAGGAATAGCTGTCAGAAGAATACTCAAATGATCAAAATAAGAATAATCTAGTCTTGGCAATTAATAGTCTAGTCTTGGCAATTAGGCCTTTAACTATCGAATGAGCTATTTTTTCTATCATTGCGTTAAAAACTGAACTAACACGACCAATTTAAAATGGCCGATATTTCTGCCGTTCCATGATAATTGCAAACGCGTATGTCTGACATGTAGTTTTTAATAAATATCGAAAGCGAGACGCGAGCTTGTACTTTTTATTTCGTATTTAAGGACTCGACTCGATGAAACGTGCTCTTTCGCTTGGGCCACTTGTAGTTTCAAAACAAACTTTCATTTACATGCATGCCTCACCATCGCACCAGTTTTCAAGTTGTTTTCGAAAAGCTAAACTGCAATTGCAAACTAATAAAATATGTTGAACGAGAACTATAGACAATCATGCACTTCACAAATTTTATAATATCACATTTTATACACTACGGCTTGCAAAAAAAATTCCTAAAATTAAAAAATTAAAAAATCAAATCATTTAGCATTGCACGTTTGAAATTCATGCAATAATAATACGAAAATTGGGAGCGTGAATTTTATACATTTATTAACAGCCAACCATGCAGGAGCAGTTGTGAAAAATGCAACTATACATAGACCCTCTGGCAGGAATCAAACCTGTGGTCCTGCGATTCCGATGCAGCGCTCTAACCAGCTGAGCTACAGAGTCGACCTGGATAGTTCATCATAAATGTATATAAAATTTACGCTTAAAATTTGCATCTACAAATACTTCAACATTATTCTTCAATCAACTGAGATGCACAAAAATCATAATAATAATATGACCCCCGTGCTCCCCACTTTTCTTCAGGATCAATTTTGTAATTCTTTCAACACTTAGGA